TTGTGGCAGGCTTTTTATGTGGGATCATTTGTGCAGGTCACAAAAGCAGACTTGCCCTTAATTGGGTTAAGTGCTTTGGTGCTTTGTGACATTATAATGAATCTCCATGCATGCCCCCAGCTTCCTGCTGCTGGTGTGATTTTTTGGTCCTAAACATGACCACCTTCAATAAAACTGTTTAATTTTTGAGCCAAGCGAAGAAGACCTAGAGTTATTCGCTTGTGCTTTTTCAGCCCAAGAAAATCCAGGTGTGGGGCACACCTTTTTTGACACATCCATCATCACCTCTACCGCTGTCAGCCTACCTCAAGACTTGGTAGCAGGCACCTTCGCGTAAGCCGCTCCCTCACCAGGACAGTGCTGCAGCAACATTTGATATTGGAACCTTTGTCCCCCCACCCATATTCATTTCAATAAGGGCAATATTTGCGAAAATACCACGAGTTATCGCCCCTTATGTGCGAAAATACTATGAGTTATCGCTTACATAAGACCTTCAACGTCCGAAATGACATGAAACTATGACATTTATATATCATTTGTATATAGGATTGGTCACCTATAAATATATAAAATATTCCAGATATCTAAAGACATGCTACTCTGAATCGACACAGTGATTGTCCACATATAAGATCTCCAAGAGCACGGCAGTCTTTGACTGTAAACTGCTGGCGGAAATAGATCTTTACTTAGCAGTCCACAATAGATAATCTAATTTTTAGGGAGTTATTTTAGCACACACAATGGGATATTGGGAACCCTTTTACCCAGACATGGTCTCAAATTTACTACATATTGCGCAAATAAGTAGTAAATTATTCATTATGGGATGCCTAAACCACCTTTTCCCCAAAAGTTATAAGGCTTTTTCTCCCACCCACCCTCCCTTACTTTTGTGCCCCCCAGTCTTGTTTTAACTCGCTCATGCTGCGTCGGTTCCGGGAGGAACCTGGCAAGGGGGAGGTAATGTAGGATACAGCGAGTATGTATGAGCTTATCTGAAGACGTGCACATAAGAAGTGCAGCACTCAAAGATATATAGCAAGTACCGAGCGCATGTCCTATTCGAAGAGTCGAGAAGGATCCACGAAGCAATTAGGATCACATGTCCAAAGACGAGCGTGAGCAAGTCAAGGATGATCCAAGCAGTGCCAAAGGATCACATTTTCAAACCTTCCATTTTTCAACTTTTGCCTACATAGCATGCCAACCTAAAGGGCAATCGAGAGACCATTGCCAACAAGTATGAACAGCGTTGGGGAATGCATCTACTTGCATACAACAATGCAAACATGGCAGCTATTCTATATAAAATCCTAAAAAGACATAGGCAACCTTTTGGGTACAAGACACAATTTTTGGAACAGCCCTCTGACCAAGGGCATCCTATTATTTGGCAGCTTTGAGTGCCACCATGGACCTGGGCAAGTCAATCAAAACTGCGCCACTATGGCAGCTATGAGTGCCAACACAATGACATCATTCATAATCAATGATCGATCAGAAAGTCTATCTCGACTCAAATCACAGATCAACCACGATCACGATCAGTCAAATCAATCAAATGACGTCATACTCAGACATGTGACTAGGGACATCATGCCACCTTCCAACGCCACATGATTACATCAGCATAGATTATGTAATAAAGAAAAGATACTGGTCGAGTTTCGAACCTGATCTTCACTCGCTCAAGTGGCTTAGGGGTTAAGCCATGGCAATCTGATACGTCAGGACCCGATCGTCTCACAACATAACATGTGCGCAGGTTCGATTCCTCAATGAAACGGAATCTGCCATGTATTATGTAATAACCTACCCAATCTGCCGTAGCACAGAAGCACGAAGTCATGACTGAAGACAGAAGACCAGGATAAACTGGTATCTGGAGAATGATACCTAGGGGCCGACGCTGCGGTCAAAAACAGCATCTTTTTACAACTATCATGCATTTTGAACAACCTTGACACGTCATTAAACTGTTCACAATTTGGCAGCTTTGAGCGCCACGAATGACCAAGCACATGTCTTTAAACTGCAAGCCCTTTTGCACATCATTTTGAGCAACAGAAGCCAATAGCGCTGTCTGCGATGTCAGACATCTAGGACCAAGAACTGTTAGCCACACAAGTGCACCATTTACCTGAGCAAGTCATTAAACTGCATCACCCCCTTTTGCTGCTAGCAAAGGTCTTAGATGCCATTCACACAACACACCCTGCCATTCCACCCTGGAAGTCAGAACCTGAAGCGAGGGTACCATTTACCACAGCATTTACTCAGTCCATCCGGAGTCTGAACCTTGAAGCGGGGGTAGTGTCACAGTATTAAGTGGCACCTTTCTTTTTGCACCATTAAAGTCCTCATTTGAGTGGTTATTCGGACGCCAACCTTCA